ATATAATCTCTTAATATACTTATGTATAATCTTCATATAAAATCAGTATCTGTTATTATGATTAATTGAAATAATTATTATTAACATATTATAATAAAATTAATTCTTTAATTATATTTTATTTTTTATATATGATATATATGAATGATATTAACTGATTAATATTAGTATTAAATTATAATATAATTAATTATATGTTTTATTAATTATTATCAATTAATTTTATAATCAGTTTACTATTACTTGTTCATGAACGATTTTAGTTCAAGCTTATTTATTATTTGAATTATTATAATAATGTACTATCATAAATTTTTTTCTTAAATTTTAACTGTCCTTATATTAATAATGTATGTATTATTTATGATTAACTTATATTTATTAACTGTTTATATTAGTATAGTTATATATTATTATTTATATTTTTAATTGTCATTATCTTTAACTTGAACTTTAATAATACATACTTGTAATATATTTTTTTTATTTATTCTTCTACACAACGTAACTGTAATTATAGTATCATTAATTTTTCATATACAGTATATGTATGCATTAATTATTTTCATAATCATTTATTATTAATATATTATAATAAAACTAATTAAATATGTTAGTTGTTATTAATTTGTATTTATTTATAATTTATTTGAACGGAATAACATAATAATTTTACTACTTTATTTGTTTTCAATCTATTATCGATATTATCGTAAGCTTTTAAAATAAGAAACTGTTTATTTAGTTTTTGTATATTATTTTTAATTTTTTAGGGTAAAATTGTTTTTAATTCTTTATAATGTACATGTATTAATTAATTAATTATTATTTTTCATAAATTTATTATTAATATTTAATTATATATTTTATGGTTTATTAATCTTTATTTATTTGTATATGTACATGTATTCATTAATAAATTATTTTTATTCATATATTATTTATTAATATATAATTATATATATTATGATTTATTAACTCATATTTATAATTTATTAAATTATTAAAATAAAATATTTTTAAATTATTGTTTTGGTTTTCTAAAATTTTTATAAAAAAAATATATGCATTACTTCATGATTTAATTTATTCATTACTATTAACAAAATTTATAGGGTTAAATTATATAGTTTATTAGTTAACAATTTGTATAAATTTATAATTTGTAAAATAATAATAATACGCGATTTTTTATTTTGTTAACTTTAACTGTTTTTATTTTTTTAATATAAAATATATGATATATATAAAAGTAAATAATTTTATGCCATTTCATTTTCCTATAAGTCTCAAACATTAAAGATTAAATTTAAACATTAAAGATCAGTTTAATTTTAATTGGTTGGTACTATCATTTCATTTTAACTAAAATTTTTTGAAGCTATAAAATAAAAGCCACATTATAACAACTAATTAAAATAAAATTAATTAAAATAATAATTAATTATTATTCAATTAAAATAATAACTAACAAATTTAAGAATATTAAATTTTGAGTACTAGTATTAGGTGAATGGAAATTTATATGCATATTAAGACCTATAATCACCATAATAAGAGTCAACAGGGTCTAGGCCTAAAATAGACCGAATCCTCTACAATTTGATATTAAACGACTGAAAATTATATATTCTTTTTACTATAAGTAAATAAATATATATAAATATATACAACAAAACATTCAAATTTACACATTTAAGTAAATGACGTGTAGATTGCTAGGTAAAACTCATTAGTTTTTAACTAAAATTAAATGCAAATAAGTAATTAAAGTGTATTTAAAGTTGTTGATTTTAATTTTTATTGTTAATAAAATCTAATTGTTATTGCATATATTTAAGTTATTATTAAATATTTCGAAATTACTATTACTATTTAATTTGTTTAAGCACGAAAGGTGTTATTAATATTTATTTTGCATTGTTATTTTATTATTATTATATTATTTTGTCATAGTTTAATTATTGTGGCTATTGTTATATGAATTAATAGGCAAATATTTTAACTAAAATTTTATAATGATTTATTTCTTAATAATAATAAATTACTTATACGTAGGTGTTGTTAATTATATTTTTTTTATTGTTATTTAATTATTATTACATTATAGTTGCTAAATTATGGTAGCTATTGTTTTATGAATTAATATTTATATATTTATATAAAATAAATTTTATAATTATTTATTATTCAATTAGTACTTGCATACACCGTGATCTATGACATCTATTAAATTATTATGATTACTAACATTATACTCATTTTAATAATAATAATAATATATTACGTTGTTATTATATATAGTTATTATTGTTAATAAGTAATTTTTAGTAAGTTAGGTTAGGCTTAGTAATAGTAAACCCAGGTAAATGAATAATGTATTAATATTCCTTTTATAAACTTAATGTTATTATTAAAATTAGTTTTAATATTACTTTTGTTATTAAAAATAAGTTGTAGCAACGCAATTATTATTGCTTACAGGAATTATTACTTAATTTTAAATTTTATTGAAATTTATATAAACAAGGATTGACATAAGTTTTTTGAAACTAATAGTCGTTTTTAGTATTTTATTCAATTTGAAAGAAAGCTAATATTCTATTAACAAATAAGTTAAACATTTTTTGATCTCACAGGTTATATATTTTATAACAATTATAATAAAAAGTACTTTTGGTCAATTTGAAATGAAGTTACATATTGAAATTTAATTCCCGTTTAGCTTGTTCAGTATATAAAGCACTCTATCACTCTCTATAATGCATCTGATCGTTGCTTTCAAGGCAAATCGTTGTTATCTTAAAGACTAAACAATTTCAATTATTTACCCAAAAATGCTATACCGACGGTAACTCACACAGGTCCATATCTGTAAACAATAATGTCAATCAAAGTTTCAATAACTTTAATAAGTCTTTTCTTTCTTTGATATTATAGCATAGATGTCAGTCTCATTGATATCAAAAGCACTTCAGTATATGTTTATGTTCATGACTTTATTTCGGGCGATATTGACAATGACATTCAGATTTTATCAGTGCATCTGTTAGGGGGCATCGGTTGCTGATAGATGACATTTCTCTGCTCAGTCTTAAGTGTAGGCTATTACTAACCTAAAAAGGATGGTATTAGTTGATAGATTAATTATTTAGCATTCGAGTGCTTTTCTCAATATAAAAGAAGATTTTTTCTAACTTACTAAAGTGACTTACAGGTCTTCTATTTTAATGTCTTATGAGCATGCTATGCTGGCAATATTTTTCTTTTTATATTATTTAAGAAGCAAAATAAAATAATGATACCTTTGAATAATTATTAAGTCAAAGATAACAGCTCTGAAAAACTATGTAGTGCTTATAAGATAACAGATATATGATACAAAGAATGATAATTACATTTAGAACATCATATATAGCTGAAGTTTAAAAATGGTTAAGAAACTATCGAACTTTTATATATTAATATACAGGATCTGTTACATGTACTTCTCATATATTCAAAATGGAAGAAATGAAGGTTCATTTTCAGTATTTATCGAAGTAACTAGTACCTTATCAGAAAAAAATATTCAGTCAAAAACTCTCATTATCTTACAAATCTTATCTCATTATCTTAGAACTATTCTTCTGCAGTCTTTCCACAACATTTTAATTCTCCACAAAAATGCAAAAATTTCGTAAGGCGTATGAGTATTTACCAATAAATTTCTCGAAATAAATTTTAGATAATCATTTCTAATACATATATATTGATATACTTTTAAAACCTATATAGATCTTTACCTAATTGGAATATGTCAGGGTGGACATATTCAATCACACACTATATATACCACCGTGTCACCACAATTTTACCGCAAAAAAATTTGCAGTAAAATATATATTATAAATAATATTATAAATAATAATATTATAATATTATAAATATATTAGAAAGATCATTTATAGTCAAAGCTTATAAATTAATATAATACCATTCCAATACACAGTACACAATAATCCTTATAATATTTTGTATATCTCAGGCTATATTTCCTCAAATAAATATCAGAATCACTACTTATCTTACAATTATTACATTATTATAATATTATTTTGATATCATTATTAATTTATATTTTTATCACTATATATTATTACTTTTGCAATCAGGCTCTTAGCAAAAATATTGCCGATATTTAAATAAATACGAGTATGAGACAGAAGATGGAAATAAATAACTCAAAAAAATCTTAAATAATCATATAAAAATAAAGAATAAAATTTATATATTTTTATAAAAATTTTTATAAAAATAAATCAAATAATTAATCTATAAATAATGAAAAAAATTCACATTTCAGAAAATTTGCTTAATTTGCTTATAATCTTATAAATGTTTTCAAAAATAAAAATTAATTTAATAAATACGTAAAAGATGTAAAATAAGTAATAAAATAATTTGCTTATATATGCTTATATATTTAAATAATATGGATAATTATAGATATAAAATTTCAATTCACGTTTCTAATTTTTGGTCAAATAGTCTTATTTATTTTTATTTAACTAAATATAATTATTTTTTTAATTTAAACTTTCTAAGATTGAATATTTATTAAAGATTTAAGTTTTATTTATTTTTATTTATTTAGAATTATTTTTTTTAGGCTTAAGCTATAACTTTAAAATAAAAATTGCTGATGGTTTTCCAATTTCTAAAACTTTTTTGTCTTAAAATTTAATACAAAAACTAAAAAAAAAATGAATAACTAATCGGGATCAACTAAATTTGTTACACGACTTATCTTATTATTTTTTTTTTTAATTATTCAAAAGCTTTTAAATATATTAAATATTTATTAAATATTTTCCATTAAAATTTTCAAAACAAAATTAGAAAAGAATAAATAATTGAAAACAATCGTTAAGAAAATAATTTCAATTAAAACAATTTTAATTAGTGTTTTCACAAATTAAAAACAAAAGGAGTTAATGAACTTCAAAACAATTAAAAATTAGAAAAAAATATGTGCAATGTCAAAATTTGTTTTCGATAGTATGCTACCAAAGTATCCACAGTTCCAACCATTTATAAATTCACATTTAACTACAACATCACAAAATTCATCATCAGCAGCTGTAGCAGCCGCCTTAGCCGCAGCCGCCGCTTCTTCTTCCTCAATTGTTGCTAATAGCAATTTGAACAACAACAACAACAACGGTCTGCACTCATCGACCCACAACTTAACAGCAGGTACGCAATCGTTATCCTTATCACCGACTTCAAGCTCAACAGCAGCTTTAAACATCAATAGTAATAATCTAAATCAATCATCAAATTCACCAGTTTCCTCATCTTCACCATCATCAACAACATTTGGTTCGCTCACACAGCAATTGCATCACCAACATCAGTTGCATCAACAACAACAGCAACATCAGTATTCGCTGTCGGCTGCATTGCAATTACAGCAACAACAGCAACAGTTACATATTAATAAATTAGCTGCAGCTGCAGCGGCTGTAAGTTCACACAACAACGGTAACAACGGTGTAGGAGTACAACAACAACAGTTACTATTAACACCCCCATCAGGTGCTAACTCACATACCGGTGACAGTAGTTGCTCACCATCTCCGTCGGCTTCGTCATCTTTGCATCGCAGCATCAACGACAACTCACCCACCTCAGCATCGGCCGCTAGTTCCATAGCTGCCGCAGCTTCATCTTCGTTTGCCATACCCACAAGTAAAATGTATCCGTACGTGTCAAATCATCCCACTTCTCATGGTGGTCTCTCAGGCATGCCTGGCTTCACTGGACTGGAGGACAAGTCGTGCAGGTGTGTATATGTGTATATATATATATATTGTATCTGTGTATTCAGAAAATATTTAGTTTTTATATAGTGTGAATGCTTTTCAATGTTACAAGACTTTTTTCCCCGCAACTTGGTAGAGTGGAAGTATTTAGATTAAGATACTTGAATTCGAGTTCGAGTATCGATTGCGCGGTTAAGTTCAAAAGCTTAGGCGATTAAATATTTTTTTATGAAATGAGATTTTGCTTAGATATTAGAGGTGCGTTTGAAATCGCAAACTTATATGAAAGAGCTAGTTCAGTAATTAATCCCAGTGAAGTATATTGATTCATTATCTGTAGAATAAAGAATTGTTTTGGTCATCTATTTGATCTTTCATAATATTCTGAATGAACTTTTCTTTAGATATCTTTAGATATCATCATATACCTATATAGCAATCGGCTTCCAATTTAGATTTATTATCGATCTGACAAAATTTTATTGCCCAATCAAACATTTTTAGAGTAATTTAACATTTTTTTAGTTGTGTAAGTAGATTTTTATATTCTTTATAAATACAAAAGTTCAATCAAATTGCACTTTATTTTTCAAGTCATATACTCTGGCAAAATATCTAGAGTATTTCCTTAAGACCATCGACAACTGCTTATAGTCAGCCAAAAATTGAATTCAATTATTTAATAAATAATAAAATTTTGTTGTTGTAATTCACTATTGTTCAAAATACCTCTTTAATAAAACAATAATAATAAAATTGTGACTACTAATAACTATATATTCAATAATATGGAAAAGTCAATTTTCTTTTTATTATTTATATTATTTTTATTTTAATAAAAAACCAAGAATTTCTTTCATATATATCACGTAATTGAGTATATTAAAGCATTTACTTAGTATATTAATAAAAATCCAAAATTGTCACAAAAATTGTCCCTATTTTTGGACAAATAAACTTGCTTTCATTCTGTAATGTTTGGGTGACAATAACCATAATAAACACAATACTCTTATGAATGACTTATTCGTCGTCATAATTATAGCAATGACTCTACTGTTGACCATAGAAAAAGTAATAATAATAGCCACACAAATTAAACAAATTGCAAATTTAAACACGAGCCCAGATTGAGTAACGTCACATTGTCACAAAGTCACAAGGGATAACCTGCTGTCACTACACCAATTCATACTCAAACTAGCACATTTAATGTGCATTATTATTGCTGTTATTATGTAGTCATAAAATTAGAGCACACAACTGTTGAGAGGCGTTGTATTAGCATTTGGCCAATTTGTAGAACACCTCTCGGTTGTGGTGCACAGAGTCGTTTGAGTAAATTGACCATAACCAGAGACACAATAAAGTGACTTATAAAAATATTCGCACGCACATTGACCTTCACACATTTGCATACGACACAAGATCAATTACTGAAGAATTACCCAATAATTAGGTGCCATAACAATAGAACCACAGCGCACATTGTGAACTCCATGAACCATAGAGATAATTAGCTTTGAAAATTAGAGCACAAATTTATTGTCTTATTGAAAGGTACGAGCATTTGTTGGACAGGTCAATTAGGTTAGCATAGATTATATTTTAAATTAACTTCTATTTGGTTTCCAAACAATGTTCCACGTTTATTGAGTTACTCATTATATATGCATTTAAGTAGCGTAATTTAAATATCAATATAAAGTCTAATTTATTATTTATTTATTATTATTAATTTTCTTTTTTTATTTTTCAATCAACAGTAGGTACACAGACAGCGTCATGAACAGTTATCAATCGATGAGTGTACCTGGTTCAGCTTCCAGTTTTGCGCAATTTTATCAACACGCTGCTTCGGCAGTATCTGCAGCATCAGCTGGAGCTATCGGCGTTGACTCATTGGGAAATGCTTGCACGCAACCCTCATCAGGTGTTGTGCCAACTGCAGGTGCCGGTCAAACTATTGCAGATTTGCCTAGATACCCATGGATGACATTGACAGGTGAGCTTATACTTATTTGAATGTGCATAGAGCTTCGTCACATGGAGCAATAAAGTTTCGCTAATTGCGATTTAAATCAATTAAGTTTTTTTGTAAATCTAATATTAAATTATTAGACAGGTTAAAAAAATATTATTATAAACATATTGATAGGTACAATACTAAATTAGTTATAATCTGGTAGAGGATTTTCTTTTTGAAAAATTATTTTTCAAAAAATACAAATTTTTTGAGGATTTATTTTTGAAGACTCTTTTTTGTTGAAAAATCAATACAGACAGGATAATGCAATTATTAATGTTTTGTTTGATCTACAACAAAAAAAATAAATAAATTAGAATAAATTTAATTAAATGCAATTTTCTATATTAATATTATTTTACTATACTGAAAGTTGTATTAATAAACTATTCATATAAAATTTAAAATATAAGGATGTGGAATAAAAATGGTTGTGTTTAAAAATATATAAAGATCTATTATTAAAGAGATTATTTTAAAAAATTATTTTTGCAGAATTATTTTAGAAAAATTATTTTTAAAGAATTATTTTTAAAGAAATTTTTTGAAGAATTATAGAATTATAGATATTTTTTGAAGAATTATTTATATAAAATTATTTTGCAAGAATTATTTTTAAAGATTTATTTTTAAAGAACTATTTTTGAAGAATTTTTTTGAAGATATATTTTTATAAAATTATTTTGGAAGAATTATTTTTAAAGATTTATTTTTAAAGAATTATATTTTAAAGAACTATTTTTGAAGAAGTATTTTTAGAGAATAAATTTCAAAACACTATTTTTAAAAAACTATTTCCGAAGCATTAATTTTGAAAAAATTTTTGAAGAACTGTTTTTGAAGAATTTTTTGGAAGAACTAATTTTAAGGAATTATTTTCAAAAAATAAGTTTTAAAGAATTAACTTTGAAGCACTATTTTTGAAATCTATATTACTTTCGAAGAATTATTTTTAATTAATTATTTTTGAAGAATTTTGTTTTGAAAAATTAGTTCTTCAAGAATTATTTTTAAAGTTTTATTTTTAAATATTTTTAAAGTACTAAAGTACTATACAATAAAAATGCAATTATTAACCTAAAACCATTGAGAATAAATAAAAATAATGAGTTAGCAAATAATTTCAATTTATTTAAATATTTTTTTTTAATTTATATTAAAACAATTTCAATTTCAATCTATGTAATTAAGGTTGTATATTATTTATGTTTGATTGATTTATTATATTTCGAGTAATCACCAGCTAATTAATGCCAAACACTTAGCTAAATTAATTAGTTTATAAAAGGTTTTTTTTGTATAAAAAAAATTGCTTAATATACATATTTCAAACAATTTTATTTAAAAAAGTAATTAAAATTGAATCGAATTAAGTGCAAAAAATGCGTAAGAATAATTTATATATTTTTGTTAATATCAAATTTAATAAAAGAAGCTCCTTAGCTCCACAATTGTGGTTATACATTAGTCAGTATAGGAATCGGATGACTTTTATGCATTAATGCACAATTTTTCTTAGAAATTCGAACTCATAATTCCCATACCATTAATAAAATGTCAAAAAGTATAAATAAAGATTTTTTAATTGCCTAAGTAATTAAGAATCCTCTGGTCCGTCGAAGCTGTGATATTTGCTTATGTTAACTGAAATAAGTTTACACTTATGCAGACATATGCATATGTATAATATATGAAGGTTATATAAATATATATATTTATATTAATTTAAATTATTTTTATATAATTTTAATTGTTTTTTAATATTTGATGTATAATATGTGGGTTAAATGTCAGCACTTACATTTCAAGGAGACAACCATTGTCAATTGTTATGTTCTTAAATTTGACAGAAAAAGGCGGGATTGGTTCCAAATGCTATTAAAAGTGCTATCCAAGTTAAATTGTTTGATTTTTCAGATTTACCTTAATAAATACAATAGTCTATTTTCACTAATCCTGCAAGTTCAGTGCAGAAATGCTTTCGTAAATATTGGGAAATTTCTCTTCCATGATCATGGTAACTTCTACATAGTTCGCTCGGTGCAATACCACAGCTCTCTGTTGGTATACCATACGTACATGGACTGTAGTTTTGCTGAAAAAGATCTCTCGCTCTTCTAAACAATTAGTTCATTACTAATTCGTTACTACAGTTGTGAGTTCATATGTGATTCTAATATGTGATGATTCACACATCAGAACTAATCAGAACTAGTTGTATTTCGATGAACCAATTAAGTTCTTGCCTAGAAGCTATTTACAAATACTCTTGGTCTATATTTCCTTCATATTAATTCAGATTCAGGACCAGTTACTATTTGTAATCTATGACTATATAATATAACGAAAAGCTTGTATCTTGAAATTATGTGGCACTACGTTATTTGACTTTAAATCCGCTTCAAAATGATATTAATGTTGAATCTGTATAATTCAGATATATAAGTAAGATAGATATTGGATTAAAAATGATTTTACGGTCGTAACATAAGTGTACATATAAACGGAAAAAACAAAGAAACCGATCAACTGTCCAACAAGCTATCAAAGAAATACTTTCTCAAGTGTCTCTTTCTTCTGGAAGTGAAAGTTAATATTTACAGAAAAAATGCTTGATAGTTGCTTGTCCCTAAAAGTTTCTACAACTCTACATTGAATTTTGAAAGAAATGGAATTTCCCAGTGTGTGTTTCTATATATCAGTAATCAGAGAAGCCTGGTGATTAATAATGATTTTGTATAATTCAGATATATATGATAGATATTTTTACGGTCGTAACTTAAGTCTACATATTCACGGAAACCGTGCTGAAGTCATCTGTTAAATAAATAAAGTTTTCTAACATTGAATATATTGTTGAAATGTTGTAGTTTAAATAAAACTTAAGTGATTCTGGATACATATTATATCTTTTTTGATTCCATTTTTATTTATTATAACTCATATGGCACCGAAGCATATTACTGCTAACGTTAATTATAGTTTCTCGATTTCTAATCGAATTAAAATTGAGTATATTAATTCGTATTCCCTCCTTATATGTTTTCTGATTCCTTGGCCAGCCTTTTAGGCGTTAAAGTGTAATGAATATAGTATAGTATTTCAAATAGTGCAAGAATAATAAGGACAGATGTTAGTTGTTGTTTCGTTAAAATATTATTTATAAAAACTATAATAGTTAATTTGGGTATAAATTCAAAACAGTTTTAAATATTAACAAAAAGCTAAAAAAATAGGTGTTAACATCACATTATTAGCTTTCTAAAGTTATTAATCTTATATTTGTGCTCTAATTGGGTGCTTTAAAATCAAATAAGCACCTTTTAACAGATAATTGTCAACGTCTTTCCATATCTTTCTTTCTGTTTCTTACCATAAATCATCTTTTCATCAAAAGATACATCCTTTACAATGGATGTCATAGCCTAAGACTATGGATGTCATACACAAGCCATGAATTTTTAAATTGACGTCAATAATCCAACTGTCGATTGATTGTCTTCTATTCATGAAACCTATTGATTTTAATATACTTTAAAATCAAATTTGGTTGTTACTTAAAAAAATCTGTCAATTATATATTTATTTATTGATTTCTGTTTTTTAAGAATGTCTCTTTAGTATGCCAAAATATTCCACTTGAATAAATGCTTATGTTTTAGATTTATGTTAGCGGTTTACTGAAACTAAGCAAAATAATCTATCTTCCTCTTACAAAGCCACTGCATATTAATCAATTTTTTCTGTTCACAACTAATATTATTGGGTTAAAGAAAAAATTCAAAAATCTTTGATAAACGACATATTATTCAAAATCTTTGCTTTTAAGTTAAATACAAAAGAAATTCACAATTTATGTAGCCCACACTAAGTTATTTATGTTAAAATAGCCAAAATCCATATATCAAAATTATGTGAAATTAAGCAGCGGGAAATCCATAACTTTTAGGTTTATTTTACATGATAATGTATATTATATTAATATTATTCCGATGGAAACTAAATTATGAATGAAATATGAAATAAAAAGTATTATAAAGTTGAAGACGACAATAGTTTTGAAGACGACAATAGTTTTGAAAAAGTTATATTTAATCCAAGAGAAGGAAGAGAAAAATCATGTGTAAAATACAAAACACCTACTTAAACTAAAAATAAGACATTTAAATTATAATCTAAATATATGTATATGAAACGATTTCCTATGAACAAAATTAACAAAAAACAGAGACAGCGTGACAATCGCTGTTGTATGAACATTTTTAATAATGTTTTTCTAAAAATGCGAAATAATAAATTTTATTATAAAAATAACAACATCTAAATTATGTGATATCAGGAGAGAATCTAATAAAGACATTGTTTCTAAATGCAAGTCGTCGCTGCAATTATATAAAAATATTTTTAATTGTTTTTCTCACAAACGGCCCAGCCCGTCCCGAACCGGACCGGCCTGGCTCGCGCAAATTATTTTGTGACCTTTCTACTTAAGTTATCGTATCGCACATTCGAGGCACATATAAATTTGTGCATAAACTAAATAAGTTAATACATTCACAGACCATTAAATCGGCCAATAACCGCAACAATGATCCATAGACGACGCCTTAACCATTGCTTCACTTTAAATTACACCTTTACGATCGTTCACTATATAAACGATAGACGATGGACGATAGACAAATGGCATCGTTATAGCAATTTGAGTACAATTCATCGTCGCTGCTTTCAGGCATTCCTCATTCAAAACACTCATAATTTTTATTAAAATTGCCAATAATAATAAAAATAATGCTTACAGAAATAACTTAACATATTGTATCTGCTAGATACATGCACACTCGTATCTACACGTTTCGCTTGTACTACACGAGTAGTACATATATATATGTATCTATGTAAATACTCGTATATCTGTATATCTGTGGATGCGTGGATGTGTGTAGATGCGTAAGATATAAGTTTATTATTCATATTTT